TTTTTTTTTATTGTAGAGATGAGGTCTCACCAAGTTGCCCAGGCGGGTCTCGAACCCGCGGGCTCAGGCAATCCACTCACCTCAGTCTCCCAAGGTGCGGGATTACAGGCTGAGCCACCGAGCCCGGCGGATACAGAAATTTAATAGTATCCATGTCCTTTCCCAGACTATACCCTATCTCCATCCAAAACGTAAGCACTATTGTGACTTTATGTGGTCATCTAGTTTTGCTAATGAAACTCTCTTTTGAGGGGCACAATTCTACAAGGATAAAGGGAGTAGAAAGTATAAGAGCAAATTACTTTTGGAAGCTGGAAATCAGATAAACCAGACAGCACACAAACAAGTGGAAGTAACCTGGCGAATCCAGAAAAACTGAAATCTAAGCTAGCAATGGTGAAAGCCCAGAAGCAAGCCTATTCACATAGCAGAATACAGGAAGGGCATTTTACCTCTATGAGAAGTGAACTTGGGGCTCAAAATAGAAAGACTGGGTAAAATCTGTTCAATAAGTAGTTAGAAAAAAAAGACAGAAAGATACAAAGTGACACCATTTGCCTCTGATAAGATGGACTGGTAAGGACAAAACATCACTTTCATGGTTTTCCTGCCAAAAATGTATAGCCTGAATCTTATCAAGGGGAAACTATCAGAAAAAAACAAGTTGAAAAACAATCTGAGCCGGGCTCGGTGGCTCAGCCTGTAATCCCACGCCTTGGGAGGCTGAGGTGAGTGGATTGCCTGAGCCCGCAGGTTCAAGACCCGCCTGGGCAACTTGGCGAGATCTCATCTCTACAATCAATCAAAAATGAGCCGGGCGTGGCAGCGCATGCCTGTAGTTCCAGCTACTTGGAAGGCTGAGGCGGAAGGATTGCTGGAGCCCAGCAGGTTGAGACTGCGGTGGCCGGAAGCGGCCACTGCACTCCAGTCTGGGTGACAGAGTGAGACTTCAACTCAAAAAAAAAAAAAAAAAAAAACCAATCTGGAACACTCTATAATACAAGTGGCATTCAATGATGTCAATGTCATTAAGGACAGAAGGGCTGACCAGGTTCAAGGAGACAAAAGAGACATAACAGTTAAAGGCAATGCCTGACCATGGACTGGATCTGGGATTTAAAAAATAAATGGCTAAGGAAGAATCAGTAATGCTAAGATATCAGCTTTTCCCAAGATGATTTATAGATTCAATGCAATCTCATCAAAATCCCAGCAAGTTACTTTGTGGATATTGACAAATTGATTCACAAGTTTATATAGAAAGGCAAAAGACCCAAAAAGTCAGCACAATATTAAAGAAGAATAAAGTTGAAGAAGTTAAGAAGTTAAAACTACCTGATTTTGAGACTTACTATAAAGCTACATTAATCAAGATAGTATGGTACTAATGAAAGTCTAGACAAATAAATCAACAGAACAGAAGAGAGAGTCTAAAAATAGGCTCACACAAATATAGTCAACTGATCTTTGACAAAGGAGCAAAGGCAATTAAACGGAAAAAGGATAGTCTTTTCAAAAAAAAAGTGCTGGAACTGAACATCCACATGAAAACAAAAAAGGCAGGGCTGGGCAGTGCCTCACGCTTATAATCCCTTTGGGCAGCACTTTGGGAGGCTGAAGTGAGAGAACTGCCTGAGTCCATGGGTTCGAGACTAGCCTGGGCAACTTGGCAAGACCTCATCTCTACAATAAATCAACAAATTAGATGGGTGTGGTGGCGACTGTAGTTCTAGCTATTTGGAAGGCTGAGGCAGGATCACCTGAGCTCAGCAGGTCAAGGCTGCAGTGACCGTGAGCATGCCCCTGCACTCCTGCCTGGGCAACAGAGTGAGACTCCGACTCAGAGAAGAAAACAAAAAAGGAATCTAACTGACTTTATACCTTTCACAAAAATTAACTCAAAATAGATTAAAGATCTAAAAGTAAAATACAAAACTTAAAAAAATAAATAAATAAAATACAAAACTTTATAAACTCCTAGAAAATAACATAGGAAAAAAATCTAGATAACCTTGGGCTTTGTCCATAAAAATAAAGCAAAAGACTCTGGGGCTTTGGTAACCTTGGGCTTTGTTCATAAAAATAAAGCAAAAATGCAGGTAAAAAAATGCAGTGGAATCTTAGAAATAACTTAGTTCAACCACTTTATTTTGTACACAAGAAACTCGGGCCCACAGAGATGTCCTAATTTGTCTGAGATCCAAGCTTTTTGTTTATGGAAGAGTACTATGCATATATAAATATATGTAGTGTGATAAATTTTCAGTTCAGTACTCTTTAACCTGAACACACTGATTTCTTTTTCTCTTAAATAATGAGTAAGGGTGTATTTCTAACAAAGTTCACAGGCACCAAAAGATTATTCCTACAAAACAATGCACTATCAATCCTATCCATATATTTTAAAAATATTTCTAAAGCTTGTCAAAAGACAAGAATAAAAATTACAAATTAGTCAGATACAGTAACTCATGTCTGTAATCCCAGCTATTTGGAAGGCGGAGGTGGAAGGATTGCTTGAGTCCAGAATTTCAAGGCTTTAATGAGCTATGATTGTGCCGCTGCACTTCAATCTGGGTGACAGAGCAAAACATTGTCTCTAAATAAATAAATAAAATAAAAATTTTAAAACTACTCCTATTACTTTTCAGTAATATTAATTTTGTACTCCACATCATTACTTAGTTTGTATGGGCACTCTTAAGAAATGAATATTGAGAATATTCAAAAGAATCATCATAGACACTAAAGGAGATTCCAAAAGAAGAGTTCTAAAAATGTTTGGAAAAATAAAACCATAACTTCAATAAAGTATACATTCCTTAAACATGACTATCTGAAGGGAACAGACGATTTGAATACCTAGCTCCTGCTATATTCATTAACATATCACAGGAACTGTATCTGCCCAATTAAAAGAAATATTGACTTCAAATAACTCTGCCTTATCAACAGTATCTGGCCAAGTGATGAAACAGATATGGTAATTATTTGTTGATTAATTAGAAACTTGATGGCATGATTAGGTCACCGAGCACACCCACTAAATAAACTGTTTTGTTATCAATTTGCTCAAAAGATTAAAAAGCTGTCAAAAGCTGACGTAGAAGGATCACCTGAGCCCAGCAGGTCC